AGATGAATTACATTTTTATTACCTAAAATGCAACATGATTCAAGAAAATACAGTTCTGTAGTTAGGTCCCAAGTCTGGGCTCCTCAGTCCTCCACTATTACTGTGTATGTGTGGTGTAAATTTGGTTCAAACTACTTGAGATTGTTTCTTCAAAGACAGTGTTTGTGCAGTTGCAAGTAGCTCCTCCACAGTTAATCTCAGAATCCTTCTAAAAGGAAGTAGGCTCTCTAGTCCTGAGCTCATTGGATATGCTTGTAAGTTGAGTTTAACTCTCCTGGAAACCAGACTGCTTTTGAAAATTTAGCAGTGAATCACACCTGTTTGTGACCTACAATCCTATTGCAGGATCTCTGCAGTGATGATACATGAGTAGTTGAACTGTAAGGGCTAAATATTCAAAAGTGTCTGCTCCTTTCTGTGCATCAATAATTTCTCTAAGACAGACCAGCTCAGCACTGCAGAAGTGACACTCATTGAGCTGTGCCAAGAGCTTTGAGATCTTCAGATTTAAGAAGTTGTTTGTAGTATGTAATTGACAAGCATTGACAAGTAAAATCACATCTAAACACAAAATTCATAAAGCCATGCTGAGTAAAAATGCATGTTTTGAAGACATTGAACTGTTTTTTTGTGCTCAGTGTAGCAGAGAAGAGCAAAGATGAACAATATTCACTAGGTTTTATGATCATTCAGTCCTGATCGCTGGATTATATTTGAAGATTTCACCTTTAAATAGAACCCTTTTGAAACTCAAATGCTCTTTCATTTTCCTTCTTCCTCACCACTGTTGCAGAATGCTGGAGTATGGGGAGTACAAAGGGTACCTGTATGGTACCAGTGTTGATGCAGTGCGAACAGTCCTTGATGCAGGGAAGATCTGTGTAATAGACTTAGAACCACAGGTGAGTCGTAAAGGGGCAGGGAATCTTCTGGAAGGAAAAATAATTTTCTCTACATTCTTGAGCCATTGGAACACTGTTAGTTACTTTGTCTTGTTTTTCACTTTACCTCATGGTGCTTATTAATAATAGATTATTCTTTTCATGTGTCTTGGGTGGGGGGGTACTACAGTAACAAGTATCTTGATACAGTGCATTTTTTACCAAACCAGCAGCTGCATTATCAGTTAGGATGGTATGGAAATGAGTTTTCATACTTACTTAAAGTAAGGATTAGTCTTTCACATGGAGACCTGTGGCATGGGATTTCTTCCTCCTCCAAGCCCTATTAGTTGAGAGTTCTGTCCTTCTATTAGCAATCTCAAAACACCCTTTGGTAAAAGCAGCAGCAGTTAAAGTAATCAAGCAAAAGCTGAAAATTTTAGTGTGCCTTTGTGCCTGTATTTGTCTCCAGAAGTTACAGCTCTTGGTAACCTGCTTCTTCTTAACTTAGATGCTATTCACTTTTCCTTCTATTTTTGCATTGAATTTGCTGATGAAGATAAGGCCAATAAGAGCCTGAGGCTGTAAATATGTAAGATACTTAGAGCTGTGTCTAGCTAAACCTTACTAACCTTCTCTGAATTACTTATTTAGTACTTAGGAGCTGTTTGGGCTATGCTGTTTCAACATCTTCTCTAACTGAATGTAGAGTGACACTGTAACTCAGTAATTCCTGGATATTTCCCTCTAATTATGCAGAGCCAGTGTGTCTAAGCCTTAGGCTGGCAGTGGCTTCTGCTGCTTAAAATAAAAATTACAAGATTTGTGGGGTACTATTCAAAAACTGAAACTGCTGTAAGAGGCATATGAGGCCACACCTTAGTCTTCACATCTAAAACTGTCCTTTAGGTTTCTTCTGTTACGTTTTTAAGCAAAGGGGTAAAAGAGGGATGTTGGGTGTGTAATCTTGCCACTTGGACAGATGTACCACTCTTTCTTGTTTTTAGGGTGTGAGTTTAAAGGACGAGTTTTGGAAAGTGAGGTACCAGTGAGGTAGCAGAACTTTTGCTGTGTAGTATACTTTATTTTAAATCTGGTGGTTTTCTTTAGTTTTTCTTTTTTTGTTTTGTTTCATTCCCTTCACTGCTCTGCAGTAATTTAAAAATACTTATTAGCATTAGGAAATGTTACACAGTAAAGGAGTTCTGAAAGCAGGATACTTTTTTCCAGCATGGGACAATAGAGGTACTTGTTCCAAAAGGAGCTCCCTTACAGTTAAAAAAAGGTTTCAAATGCATCTTTAATGTGGTTAATTGTAGATATATGTTAATTACACTGTTCCATCAGTCACTGTTATTGAAAGCATCTCCTAATAAGGCTACCAAGCAGAATTAAGTGATTGTATGCTGCCGTTGCATAACAAGTCTGCTCCAGGGTTTATTAGTGAGATCTTTTTCAAGTAAGTGTTCCTGAAAAAAGTGTCTCCTGAGTCCAAGGATAACAGTGAATTGTAAACAACTTTTTATGGGAGTAAAACTGGGATGAATACACTTGAAATACTACATTTTACTCTTCATTTGCAGGGCATACAAATAGCCCGGACCCATGAGTTAAAGCCCTACATTATATTCATCAAGCCACCCAGCATAGGTTGCATGAGGCAGACTCGTAAAAATGCAAGGATCATAACGGATTATTATGTGAACATGAAGTTCAAGGTGAGATTTGGGAGTAAAAGAGATTGAATTTATTAATCTGAGATTCTGTTATTAGAAAATAATGCATTCTACTATGCTATACTGTTAACTCTTTAAAAATATTACTGTGTCTTTAGGATCAAATCTAATTATTCTTAATTTTTCTGTGGATTTTGTTGGGATTTCTTTCCCCCTTCTACACTGGCTTTGGAGCATAAGAATTGTAATTTGGAACCTAGGGGGCTGAGGTATTTTGCTTCAAAGGAGAAGCTATTTCACATATTTTTGTTTTAATTAGCTGCCTTGTGTCAATATTAGAGTCAATGCATATATTTACTGTTTGCATTGAAATACTTTGAATGGGGTTTGTTCACTAGTATTATTATTTTTTCACAGTTATAGGAATGTATTATTATTTCATGTATGGCTAATGACAGTATCAATCCTACACTAAGTTCTGTAGATAAAACACTGATCCTGCTCGCAGGAAATGCATATCTTATATTTAGAATATATACAGCACTTTGCCACAATTGTTTCCATGCAAATCATCATCAAATTTAGCATCCTAACATTTTGGAGACCTCAGTCTATAACTATGTGGAAATTATTCATGATTGCTGTGAGAGAAAGTAACGTGGACACTAGGGAAATAAACTAAAATTTGGAATAAGAACACAAGCATTAGTAGATTTACTTTTCAGTCCCTAACATTCTTGGCCAGCACTTATCATTAGAGTAATTTTTAGGACAAATGGAGCATACTAAGACACAAGGTATTTCCTTGGGAAGCATATGGCCAGCAGCTCTGTTTTTGAGACCTTCACTGAATGTGGCAGATGTGCTTTATTATATCAAACTGTAAATGAAATAAAGCAGACTGACATGATCTATTAATCTCTTGCTTCTGTGGCCCAAGGTGTTTTGCAGATGCTGTGCAGGTATGTTTCTCTACACAACACTGAAGTTTTATGGACTTACTCTGTCCCACAGGAAGAAGATTTACAGGAGATGGAAGAATCGGCTAAGAAAATGGAAGCTCAGTTTGGTCAGTTCTTTGATCACGTGATTGTGAATGACAATTTACAAGAAGCATCTGCACAGCTGCTGTCTGCAGTACATCGTGCACAGGACGAGCCCCAGTGGGTCCCTGCAGTATGGATATGCTCAGACACTCAGCCCTAATTCTGAGCAGCAGGCAGCTTCAGAAAGATTACAGCTTATGTTTTACTTCAAGAATAATCCTAATGTCAGGATTGCAAGAATTTATCTTTGTATGTGAGGGATTTGGAAGAGGATTAGAAAAGAAGCTGCTATTGGAGATATAATCATACTATGTTCTGTGTAGCTCTTGAGCTTTTTATGTTACAGTTGCATCTACTTTTGTACAAAAAAAAAAGGAAATACTGTGAGCACTCAATTATAAGAATAAAGAAAAATCTATTTTGTTGCATGTATCTGCATTATTTACTAACAGGTAAATTGAGAAAGAAACTTTTATTATGGTTTTTCCGGTTCTGTGATGCCTCGACATTCTGGAAGCCTTACAAATGATATTAAGTTAGAATATGCTTTTTTTGCATGATGTCTGTCAGCAGTGTTATTTATGGAGGTATTGGTTTGTTGCTAATCCTTTTTACCTTTTAAGATAGGAGTGGTGTTGGCATAATATTAATTACTCCAAAACCAAGTTCTCTTCATAATACATATAATTTCTCTTTTCTGCTCTTTCATCAACTCAAGTGAGTACAAACTGACAGAATGTGGACTTACCAAAGAGGAAAATTGTCAGAAATTCTTTTTCTTGTTGGTTTGGTCTGTGGTAGCACAGTCTCCTCATCAAAGGGTGCAATGCTTGTAGCAACTAAGTTACTCATTCTCCTCAGCTCATATTTGCAGCGGTCTTGCCCCCTGAGGTACACAGATGGTATTTTGTTGGCCTACCTCATCCTGGAGGAAAATCAACAAAGCGAGTTAAATAGTCTTGAAAGAGGTTATTTAAAGTCAAGTATTACAGCCATCATGATGCCTGCTTGTTCTGGAGCCAGGGCTTGTATTCGTGCTTAGAGGTAAAATGGGAGGGACCGAAGCTCCAATATGTCATTGATGTGGGGTAAGTACTGGTGGAGGGTGAGATAGCAGCCAGCTCTGCACTGCTGGTCCATGACCAGCTTCCCCACTTCGGCCTAGTCCAGCATCTGTCGACTCTTTCTCTTTGCCTTTCTTCCATGTATTATTTCCTACTTTTTTGGTGGGGTTTTTTTGTGTTTTGTTTTTTTCCGATTACTTAATTTATCAGTTTGAGACCCTGGCTACAAGCCGAACTCTTTAGCTATTAATTATTTTATTATAGTCCAGAACCCTTTCCCCCTTAATTTTGACGACGCCTCCCCCTCGGGGCGGCGGGGGCCGGGCTCGCTAGATGCCGGCGAAAGTCGCAACCAGGAGGGCACGGGAGGCCGCACCTCCCGGCGCTGGGGGGGCGCAGCCGCGGCGCGGGGCGGAAGGAGCAGCGGCTCCTCCCCGCAGAGCCGGAGCTGTGCGGGTGCGGCCCATGGCGGCGCGGCGGGCGGGCTCCGGCGCGGTGAGGGGGCGCTGGGGCCGGAGCAGGCGGGGGCGCGAACGGCTCTGTGGGGCTGCGGCGCGGGGGGGGGGCGCTAGCGGCGTGGGGGGGCGGGGGGGGGGGGGGGGGGGCCGGGCTGCGGGCTTGGAGGGCGAAGGGAGCTTGGCCGGCCTGAGCGCTGTTGCTGAAGGGATGTGGCGGGGCGCTCCCCGGCAGCAGCCGCTCCGGGAAGGCGGAGCTGAAGCGCGACGCGGGAGCGGAGCACCCTGGTAGCAGAGCGCGGCTCTTACATCCTCTGCTCCTGCTGCATCCCGCGGGAGGGGGAATGTAACCGGCCGCAGGGTAGCACGTTTCTGCCCATCTTTGCTGCGGAAGCAAGCAAGCATTTCCTCGTTGTATTTTTTCATATGAACCTCTCAAAAGAAAATCCGCAAGGCTTTAACAAATCTGTAAAGGCTGCTTCAGTGTTTTTAAACATTCTGGACATTTAAACCTTTCCTTCTCAGCATCCTGGAATGGACACATGGGGAGTTGGGTAGTTCATTTTTCCCCCTGAGTTTCCAGGTGGGTCCCACTGTCTAGTGGCCTGGCTCAGGTGTGCAAATACAGGGTTTGACCGAGGCAGCGGCAGCCCGGTTTTGCGGGAATCTCTTGGTTTCGGGGACACGTTAGAGCACTCAGCGGCTCTTCTGTCCGTAACAAAAGGTCCATGGGAACCTGTCCTCAGAGTCACCCTTTCTATGAAGTTTGGAGTGACTTACTCAGACTCTGTGAAACTGCAAATAGACCAAAGCTGATACCTCTATGGCAGAGCTGGGGACTGTCATACAGATGGACAGATGAGTATTAATGATTGGCTACTTGCATGTGTTTTCCTGTGTTGCAAAGGATAAATGATACAGAAATCAATGCACTTGCCAGCTGTTTTGTAGAAGGTAACAAAATAGGTACTACAGAGTATAGAATTACTACTGCATAGGCAGTGAATGCTGTGTAAAAGGATTGTGGCTTTTGTTTGTTTTTATGGGGTTTTTAGCTTTTATTTTTTTTAAATACCAAGTATCTTAAGCATTTAATATTTACTGCCACAAGAATGTTGGTAACAATTGAAGTAATGAGATCTTTATGACCTTTACCAATATAGTGTGACCAGTCCCCACCTGCTTGTTGGGTGCCACTTAGGGTGTGCAGTTCCCTACCTGTGTAAATGGCACTTGCTGTCAGTCTTCAGCATGGCCAAAATCCAAGTGAGAGATTTGAAGTCTAATCCCACAAACCCTTCCTTGCATGAGGCATCTCATTTGCTTTAGATAAACAAACCAATGTAAAATTTGGTTATAGGAATTTGTACCAGCATGCAGACTTAAGGGTTTTTTAGTGCAAGTAACATTAGCTGCTGTTGAACAACCTGCCCTTGTTTGAAATGGGAGTAGTTCTGGGTCCTGACCCAGGGGCAGGAGGGTTCACGTCCAGCTAATCCTGGCTGCCTGAAGTTTATTTTTAGTTCAGAATTAGCTGAGGTTCAATGTGAGCAGCGTGAGGGAGCATAGACCAGTTCACAGTGCCTCTTTCAGGGAACTACTTCAAATGATATGGGAAAGAAACAAGTGGTGAGTTTGTGGATCCTTGAGTCTTACCAGTCTTACACCCCTTTTTTTTTCTGGTATCTGAATTTTCTGAGCATGGGCAATATTTCTTTGTGCATCTATTCTTTCAACATAATTGTGTTGTACAAAATCTGAAAGTTAACTACTTTTTCTAGATGAGAGAATGGTACGAGCTCAGTTTCAGATTATTATCAGGAGATACTTTTAGATTATAGGTGTTTGACCTGCTGGTAAATATGTTCAAAATTATATGGAAAAATAATATTTTACAATATTTAAAAGTATTTTCATAAGCGAGCTTATTTTCTTTTATTGTTTTTATTATTGTTCTGAATTTACATCTTCATTAATAGAAAATACTCTGCTTATGTTGTATACTGTACAGTTATACTGAATGCATAAATTATTGCAATATTTTATATTTACTTAAATAGAATGACTAATAAGCTTTCTAATGCAAATGAAATGAAATGTGAAAATTGTTGAAGCTGAAATGCAATCTGTGCTGCACACACAGAAGTTAGCTGTGTGTTCCTGCTGCAGTGCCCATCAGAACTCTGGTAAAGGCATATTATTCCAGCATCTTTTACATCTTGCTTTTATATAACATCTCCATTAGGAATGTCTGGCTATTTAGGAGGCATACAGAGTAAAACATACCTTGGACATTCTGATCTGAAGCTGTTTTCTGAGAGGTGGTTTCATACTGGCAGAAGTTGACTTTTGTTTCTCTCTTGTCTTTCAGTGCCCACCTCGTGCCCTTCCTCCAGTGCCAAGGTAAAATCATTGCATTCTGTGGAACTGATCATGATATGCTGTACTGCAGATTTTGAAAGCAATAACATTAAGAGAAACAAGTCTGATTAACATCTGAGTAGCAAAATTGCTTTTCTTGCTAATTTATTGTCCCAAAATGCTTTACAAGGAATGCAAAGCATTTTAAAGTTTTATAGAAGCCAGGAAATTTTACCATATTACCCCAGTTTTAATACTCATGAGAGATAAACTCTTTAAACCCTAAAACCCTTTTCAGACAAATATTCTAGTTTTAACATAGTCTGTGTCCACATCTAATATAGTTTAATTTTTGTCTGTTTTAATCTCTTTTTCCTCTCTTTCTTTTATTTTGTGTTCTTTAGTTTATTTGAATCACAAATCCTTTAAAAAAGAAATTTCTGGAATTAGGCTAGATATTCTATAATCAAGATTTAGGTATATATTAGTTTGATGTAGTATAGGGAAAAAAATGGGCTATTTTTCACTGTGAAAGGAAAAAAACAATTATATAGTTTTTGTGAGATGGTACTTCAGAATTCCTTCAAAGTACCTGGAAGTACATGTGATTTTTATGATTGTTGACAGATAGTGTCTTTTTAGTGATGTATGGGCTCAAGTGTTTCATAACTTTTCTTGGTTTGTTATATACCAGGCAGTAAGATAAGTTTTAATTAGCCAGGTGATTAAAGCTTTTAATCTGATCCACAGTTAGCCAATCAAGAAATTGTGCATAGTCACCAACAAAGTGCTTCGTACCCTGTTATACACAACTGCTCATAAAGAGGAGGGGGGATAAAGAAATTAACCATAAAAGCAGCAGTGTGAATTTCACGGTTGTGAATTGTAATTGAATCAAAATTAACTTTCTTTTCATCTTTTTACACTGCTCATCAATAACTTTTCTTCTTCAATATGAAGTGGAAGCCAAGGTGAGTTACTAAAGAGAACTACAAACATTGGTAGTACCTTTTGGTGGTATTCATTCTCTTTTCCTAAATGCAGGCTGATTATTTAAACTGGATACCTGTGCATTGTTAGAACTGTTGTTTTTCTTCACTCTCTTTACTGTTTGCTATTTCCATCAAAGTAACTGAAATTCTGCCACTGTGCTTTAAACAATAAGTTTATTTTTCAGAGCATTATTCGGAGTATTTCAGTTTATCACTTAACACACGTGCATGTGCGTATTGAGCCTTTGCTGGACGTGAGACTTCTTACCCTGATTTCTTACCCTATTTTCCTAACATCTTCTGTACTCCACTTCCTTGTGTGAACTGGTGAATTGTCATCTTACCTGTAAAAACAAAGGATGTCATAATTTGTAAAAAATAATCTATTTCTTATCCTAAATTTAGCACGGCTGTTAAAAAAAGGAAATGAATGTTTCTCCTTGCTGTGCACCCATACTTCTGTTTTATGTTATGCAGATGAAATTCCACTCAGTCGTCCCAAAAAAAGGAAATCCAAAGGAAAGACTCCATTAGGTAAGGTCCTGCCAAGACTGAAAACTGTTCTTTTATTCCTGCCATTTTTACCTTTCTAATGTCTTTGCATAATTCATTAAATAGACATTTCCAGCTATAAGCTGCTTATGTTGAATATGTTAAGCACTTGAATTTTTGAATGAACTAAGATAAAACGCAGTTAGCAGTCTGGTTCAATTTCAGTCCTCGGCCAAATAAAGTCACGAGTTAATCACTCCTTAATCACAGAAGATTTGACTGTAAAAGATTATTAGTATCAGAGCTTTGTGTTTTTACAAGAAGCAGACCTGCAGAACATACTCTTTTAAGCAAGATTGTAAGTTTGATCTGCTTTGATAAAGCAGAACATGTTAATAGAATCTATTTCTGTAACCAGTTGACTTGGATCCATATAAAAGTTTGATGAGTAAACCTCCTTTATTTATACTCTCTATACTTAAAAGTGAGGCCTCATTGACAGACCTTTAAATGCAACAGATAGAGCTGTCACTAGCAGGATATCCTAAGAATTAGGTTTTGTTTACTGTTGTTTCCAGTGAGCTGAAAGATGATGCAAAGTACACCTTTTGCCATTACGTTGCTAGTTAATTTTGCATTTTTGCACAGTAAAGGTTTGTAAAAGGTGCATAAATTTGAGCTTGAAGTGGAAACAAATATTCAGTTGTTACTATAAAAATTTCAGTCCTTGAAGACACTATTAAAAAACAGGTGTGATGTAAAATGGAGAAGTAATTTTGTCTTTTCTACATGTGATCATGCAAGTTGATGCTACTGCACTATAATACGAATTCATGTTAACCTCTCATGGAAATATAATTCCTCTAAAGTGTAATAATTAATCTCTCAGACTGGAGTAAATATTCTTCATTGGATTTTTTCTGCTCCTTCCTTATTCTTGTACTGTATGTTCAGCATTTAATTTTTTCTTTGATGTGATGCCATTTTGCCTTAGCACATATCTGTGTGGATCACCTTGTAATAAACTATTAATTTTTTCTTGGCTCTTGCATTATAATCTTTGCACATAGAAAAGAGAAATATAGAGGTGTAGTTCTTTCTGGTGATGGATTCTTTTCAGACAGTCCTCTGCTATATGCCCAAATGGGAATTGTGTTACTTCTTGGATACTTACAATTCCCTCCTGAGCATGAAACTGTTACAGTGAAATACCTTTGTATATTTCTACTTCTCATCATTGATTCCCAACTCTTATATTTCCTATAGCCAATGCATTTTCATTTGTTGCTCAGCTGGGCAGCAGTGTCGTAAGTGGCAGCTTTCTCTTGCCTGTTTCTCGGTGACTCTGAATTCAGGCTGCTGGGTCTTTTCCTGTGGTTTTTAGATGGCATTGTGCAAGCAGCGGTTCGTCGGCAGTCTGAAAGCAGCGAGCCCCTGACTCCTGAACCGCCTGATGCCCCTCCTCAGAGGAAACGCAAGAAGAAGAAAGTACCTACTGGTATGTGAGATTGTTGTAGATGGGAAAGAGCAGTAAGTAAATCTTGGGAACACAGAAATATTGTTGGAAAAAGTGTATTTAGGTTTAAAACATTTCATGTTCTTCTTTACCTGTAATCTCTCTGTGAATGGTATCTTAGAGTTTCACTTTCTGGTTTCAGATTTCATAGGGTACAAACCTCCACGAAAATAATGGATATATAATTTTGGAAATTATATAATACTTTAGATCATTCAAAGCTCAGATCATGGCTTTTTTTCGCCACTCTTTTTATATAATAACTATTTATGTATTTAGGTGAATGTATTTCCATTTTTTTGAAAGATCTGAAACTTTCATGTTGGGTTGTTTTTTTTTAATCTTCAGATTCTGAGACCTCTTTCACCCAGCAAAATGTGGCATCCCTATTTCAGAATGGAAACGGCATGGATGTCCCTGAAGCTGAAGGAACGGTGATCCGCAAACAGAGAAAAAGAACAAAGTGAGATATAACTAGTATAGCCCTGAAATAACTGGAATATCTGGACATAATAATGTCTGGAATAACTCTGACAGTGAATGTGGCTGAGGAGTATTTTACATTGTCATTTGACAAAAATGTAAAATCTTGAAGCTCACAATACCATTCAGCCTGTGTACAGTTCTTTCCAGGGTTAAGATCTAACTTTATTCACTTCTTTGTTCTGTGCATACCTGGATGCATCACAGCTCTAAATATATTTTCATGAGCCTAATAGTTCAGTCACAGACATGAAAAAATTAGAATTTGGTACTGCTTTCTATCATTCTTACTATCTTAATTTTATGAAAGTTAGCATTTTTTTTCCCCAATTGTTTGAATATGTTCTAATTGTTAATCTCTTGATATGGAATTGGTCTTACAGTTTTAGTCAACCAACTCCATGGGAACTTTAGTCCTTAAAATTATAAACAGGGTAATATTACACAGGTCGTAGTCTGATGGGTTCTTGTCAATCAGGCTAGACATGTTAAATGTTCATAGGAGCCTTTGGATTTTACACATTACCTCCTTTCTGTCCCACTGTGTGTTCTGTGCCAACAGGAAACCTCGGCCAGCCGAAGTCAGCTCCAATGAGCTGGAAGTGGAGGAGGAAGACATCATTGAAGATGAGCAGAGAAAGAGCCCAGATCAACAGCCTGTGTTTGCTGCTCCCACTGGAATTAGTCAGCCTGTTAGCAAAGTGTTTGTTGAAAAAAATCGTGAGTTCATATTGTGATTTAAGTAATTTAAGAACATTCTTGCAATTAGAAGAAGCATTATTGTATCTAAAATATAAATATTGTAGTATTGGGAAGAATTTTTTAAAGTTTTCCAAAACAAATACTATTTGGAAATAAATGCACATGGTAATTTTTCAACAGTGAATGCTGGTGTTGCTGTGCTGGTATATTTGGTTCAATTTTTTAATTCCATGGTGGGGGTGAAAAAGGTTTCAAAGTACCCAGCTGAGCTTTTTTGACTTAATATTGTCAAAACTGTTACTTGCAAAACGTCTTTCAAGTGGAAGTTTTTTGCAGGACGTTTGTGGTTTTTCTTGTATTGTTTTGGGTTTGTTTTGTCCCAGGGAACACTGAGTAATTTCCCAAAGTGTTTTGCACATTGTTAACTCCATAGCTTGACCCACCAGGATGCATCACTCTGACCAGAGGCATCCTGTATCAGTGTAAGCTGACAATGGGCAGGAAGTGGGGAGAAGAAATTTTCTAATGGAAATTCTGATGCTTACAGCTTTTTAACACTAATAAGCATTCATGTAGAAATGTGAAAGGAAACAGAGCTCTCTAAAACTGATTCCCTTATCCTTTCAGGGCGTTTTCAGGCAGCTGACCGTGCAGAATTGATTAAAACCACTGAAAATATCAATGTACTTCTGGATGTGAAGGCTTCGTGGACTACTAGAGATGTTGCCCTCTCAGTGCACCGAAGTTTCAGGTGAAAGATAAGTGTTCTGATGTAAATAAACATAAATCAGGGGTTTGGTTTGGGTTTTGTTTTTTTTTTCCTCCCTGAAAATTAGTGTCTTTCCTCTATAGTTGTAGGGTATTTTTATTTCTTTTGGATATTCCTAATAAATGGTAGTTTGGGATTGAACAGGTATAAAGTTTATCTGTCCTCTAGCTTTTGGTATTTGTTGTCAAGATTATGTATTTCTACTTTAGACATCACAGTTGAAATACAGCTCAGAAAAATAATAACTAAGAAAGCCATATTGCAAAGATTCAGACAAAATCTCAATAGCAAGTGATCAAGCTGATAATCAAAGCATTAGTCACCTACAGAAATATGTTAGAAAATAAGACTGACCCATCGTGTATCACCAGAATGAAAATACCTAAATTCAGACAGTCCTCAAAGAAAAATCCTGCTTGGTGGGAAGGGAGAGGAGTGAAATTGCACTGGAGGAATAAGCTTGTGCATAATAGCAGAACCATTATTTTTTTACTATGCGGTTGTGTTGTGATAGAGAATGGGAAGATAACAGACGTTTTCTTGTGTATCTTACCTGGAAGCCTGGGCTTTCTGCTCAAGCTTTTGCTTAGCTTGATGAAGATGTTGAAAAGATTGCCTTGGGGACAAGTTAGAATGTTGTGTAAGGGGCGGTGGTCTTGGGAAGCTATAGGCGGCTACAAGTGAAAACTATTTGATGCCTGTGCCTGGTGCAGTCTGGTGTGATGGGAGGTAACAGAACTCTTACTTAGAATTTTTAAAACTAGATCAGAAAAAGCACTCAGAAACAATGTCTGAAAGGCCTTGAAAAGCAGGGTTGAACAGATGGATTCATGGGCCTTTTTTATCTATATGTAATTCAAGATGTTAAAACTGGTCTAATGTTCTTTCCTCCATTCAGGGTGTTGGGACTCTTCGCCCATGGCTTCCTTGCTGGTTATGCTGTATGGAACATCGTGGTTATCTACATTTTGGCAGGAAATGAACTTTCCATGGTTTCTAACCTGCTTGAGCAGTATAAGACAATAGCATACCCAGCTCAAAGTTTGTTCTATTTTTTGCTGTCTATCAGTACAGTCTCAGCCTTTGACAGGTAAAACATATTTGTATTTGAAAGCTGTATATATTTAATTTGTGTATATGGTGTTCCTTTCTCCTTTCTGCGCCACATTTTGATTTGCTGTTGATGATTTAATTGATACACGCAAAGAATGATTTGTCATATGGCTGTCTAAATACAGAAGGGATGTACTTGAGCATCCAGACCTTCAGTTTCTGTCTGGTGTTTGCACCCTGCTTCAATGTACCGCTGCTGTTTATGGCATCGGGAGGTGAAACAAATGTAAGAGCTGACCTGTTGTTTTTAGGTGGGACTGGGAAGAGGGGTGGAGAACAACAAATGTTTCTATCAGGTTCTTTTCATATGAATCCATTGTCTAGTCAGGTTTGAAACATAGCTGAGTGAACAGTTTTCCTGGTTTAGCTGGGGTTCCTGCATTATAGATTAAGAGTGGGAATGAAAAGAAAGAAGCTCAAAAAAAGATCATTAAATAGACTAGATTCATGGATGTTACAAGAAGGATAAGGCAGGGGAGGAGTTGGTGCTAGGAAAAAAAATGTGACTTTTTTTCCCTCCAAGGATGTCACGGAGGAGTTCCAAGTTACTCACATTTGCTCCTGTAAGCAGTTCCATTAGCGTGGACACTGAACTGAATGGCAAAGATTAGAGGGGACAGATGTCCCCAGGTTCCCCCTGTTTCAGAAAGGTCTGCAGTGTGAAACCTCATGGAACATCCTCCTTCATTTTGGAATTGGCATAATGGGGACCATTGCCATGTGTGTGGGTTGTATATTAAGGCACTGTTACAGAGGCAGAAAAAATAACAATAGAATACTCTTAGAGGAACAATATCATTATTTTACTGGGCTGTGTTAATAATAATCTTGGTTTTATTATCAGGATTGACCTGGCAAAAGCAGCAGTTGCACTGAGGGGCTTTCTTACCCTAGACCCAGCAGCACTAGCTTCTTTCTGTAAGTACTTTGAAATTGATAGGAAGCTGTCCAGAAAATATGGTAAATGGAAAACTCCATAGTCTTTTTACTGAAATCTTTCTCTCAGGTTATTTTCTGCTTTAGAATAAATTACTTGCTCAGTAGTTGATAATAGGAAAGGCCATAAACACTTTGTTCCTTGTTTTTTTAAAGCATTTGCAGTAGTAGCATTAGTGAGGCTAATTAGTGAGATAGTTCTTTTCCATTTCTTAATATAGAACACAAACCTAAAAAAAAAAATCCAGAATCACAAGGTGCAAGCTTTGATGTAGCTCATGGATTGCAAAAGTGCAGAAACCAGAATTTGATAGATACGGGGAATGTTAAAGAAAAAAGAATGAATTAAAGTAGACTATGATTGGAGGCAGTGGAGTGAAAGGAAAGAAAATGTAGTGATTAGTACCATGTCATGATGAGACAGCATTTTGGGAGTTTATATCTGACACTACTAATTCCATTTCTTCCAGTGTACTTTGCTGCTCTTATCTTATCCTTAAGCCAGCAGATGACATGTGACAGAATCAATCTCTACACACCACCTTCAGAAAATGGCAGTATCTGGTAGGAAACAAAGAACCACTTCTGTAAATTTTAACATAGCTCGTTTAGGGACACTTGTCAAACCAGCAGATTGAAGAGGTTGTACAAGATATGTAAAAAAGCACTGATGAAGGATTTTATTTCTGAATTTGCCTTTGAACTTGTCTGGAATATTTTATATTTTCACTGAAAAATAAAAAACCCAGGGATGAGTTTGGTCATGTTGTTTGCAAATCCATTATACCTCAAACAAGAATTGGAATGATGCTAGAAATGTCATTTGTCAGGAACCTTAAGAATCTCTTTTGCTTGAGAATGAGTACTGAGAGTACTCAGTATGAGTACTGAGGTAACCATTTTAGGTTCAAGGGCAGGACATTCTGTAGACAGTCAACACTGTTTTTGCAGGAGTCTGCCACAGGATGCATGGGCTTAGCAGGCAGAGCTGGCATTTAAATATAAACTATGGTTTCATGTTAAGTGATCCCATCCAAAACTGTTACCTTCTGAAGTACCTATTAATGGACTCAAATTCTGGTAGCACAAACTTTTAAAGTAAACCAGGAGAAGTAGAACAAAAGCATTCATGTGAAAATTTTCTGGTTTGGACAGTTTTTGCAGGGGGTGGATGTTTAGAGTTTCTGTGGTCTTTGGTAATTGTTCTCTTTACCAGGCCTTTGCAATACAAGACTGTCATGGTCTTGTACATGGTACAAGTAGCTCTCTTTTCACATCTGGCTTAGAAAATTTGTTTTGATGTTACTCTGTTAAAATTATTATTGTAACTTCTCTGCACCAGTGGTGACTGATGGTTTGATGTGTCTTTCCCAGGACCGCAGGTACAGAGACAGAAATTGTTCATTCGTGGGTTGTGGTGAATCTCGTAGTGTCTGTTCTAGTTGGGACAAGTTGGATCTTTTTAAGTTCCCGGCCAGAGCTAGACCACAGTGAAGGTAGGAAACACTGACAGGTAAAATGTTGTTTATTCAAGTTGTTGGGGTTTTTTATCTGCTGTGCTCTGCATTTGGTGTTCATGACTAGTCCTGAGAAATTTTGTGACTGAGGAAAAACAAGTATCTCCTAGCACCCTTGCATAGCAAATGCTTCTTAGGATGCTGGTGTCTGTGTTTGTATTATAAACATTAATTTAAAAAGAAGAGCTTTACTTGTCCTGTCTGAAGCAATGTGAATTTTGAAACATTAAAGAACATCTCTTTTCAATAAAGAGAAAAATAATTTTAAATACTTTAACTGTATTTAAAATATTTGAAATTCTAACTGTGTCATAGAAAACTCTGTAATGTTATTAATGTTCCTTCTATAAGTGTTAAATGGGTTACAAGTTCAGCATTATTTTCAACAGGACATGGCAGTAGTTTTGGGAACTCCCTCGCTTTGAAAAGTCAGATTTGTGCTTGCAGAGCAGGACTTCAAATGAGGACTGCTTGTGCTGGTCCAGGCTGGAAGAGGGGGAAGCAAGTTCTTCTCATAGAAGAAACTTGGCTAGAAACTGGGCCTTCCTCTCCTTTTGTGTTCCACCTGGGATCCAAAAGGTGTGCCCAACTCAGCATTCCTGTCAAGTGCGTGCAGCCTGTCACTTGAAGGTATGCTGTACATAAAAATCCCAAGTTTCCACTTAAAAGTCAAAACGTATCCTAAGAACACCGTGAATTGAAGCACATATTTGTGTTTGGGAGGCTGAGGATTTAACATGCCTCTTCGAATTAATTTTGAATTTTCATGTACAGGTGTCCATATTTCAGCTGGCCCCAGTTACTATGTTTGTTTCTAATAAATCATTTAATGAGTTAAAAAACTCCAAACAGCTAAGTGGCAGCCTTTACAGTCCTCAGTGGTAAAATTTATAATAGATGCTTAAATAATATTTAAAATCCATAAATAATAAAGACTTAGTCAATTAATCCAGTGGCTGAATTTTACTCAGGTTTTGATTAAATTTTTGATACTTGCATGTGCCTACTAAGATTGGAAAACCACTTTGGAAATTTCTAGAGAGAAATTCATTAGTACTTATTCCAAATAGTAAGAAAGTTTAGTCTGCTAAGTAAGGATGGGGTACACTAACTTAACACTGTGAGACACAACACAAAGACTTCTAAAAATGAACAAGTTTCTAAACAGAAGTCTTCCTTCCTGAGTCTGACACTCTCAAAACTTTAGCAATCCCTCAGTCTAATTCAGAGTTGTGTTTCAGTGTCCACGTTGAATGCACAATGGTACTGCACATGATCAACTGCTAGCATTGTCACCAAGTCTGTCAATTTTGGGGAGCAGCAATAGTTTTCTAAAAACATTGGTGGCCCTTGCCATCACTAAGTTGTTGATGATATGATTGGGATGAAAAGCTGGAGGCTTGGGGGAATGCCATGGTACTTTTCAGGAATAATGGAATTGTATCCAGGTGAAAGTTTTCAAAGAAAACATAATTCTTTCCTTTCTCTTTTAGAATTGATGTTTCATTCTGAAATTGTGGAATTTCCTCATGGAGATGTCATACCCAGAGTTCAGCCATGAGTGTGGAACAAGAATTTGCAGATATTGTTGCTGTGACTCCTGGCTCAACATACTGTGTATTATAGCTGTGTATTATAATTTTCATAAAGAAAGAAATGTATTTTTATACTGTATATATTTAATGTTGATCTTTTTATGTATGTTACAGTTTCCAAATGTGATTGAAAACTTTTATACTTTTGCTTTTTGTTTTACAAAGCAGATTATCCCTAGTGCATAAAGTCAAGGTGATTTTGTAAATACTGCTACCTACATAGCCAAAGACACTAGAGGGATGCAGAAGATCAGGTGTTCAGTGCTTTTTTGACTGCTGTACAATCTTCAACAACCTGCTTTTATTATTAATGGAAACAGCAGTTAGCTTATCTGATTTGGTTAAACATTTTCTAGAGATTAAAAAAAAAATCTTACAACAAAATTAGTCTATGGAAAATGTATAACAAAACAAAGCTAGGAAGCATAAACCCCACCAAGTTAGTAATCTTAAAATAATCTGCATTTATTTGTCATAAAATATTTTTCTAGAATAAAGGATTAAATTGTCAGGGATTTTGTTTAATAATCCATTAAAGAGGTCACTTTTTTAACCTTCATTTAGTTCTCTTGGAAAAAATCTTGATGATAACAAGTTCTTACAGGCTGATGTAGATACAAGACAAAGTTTTAATGTTGCAACAGTTTGGTCAGTTAAATACTTCTCACCAAACAGGATGTATCCATGTCCTGTAATTTCTCAACAGTCAGGAAGTGTAACTATTCCAAAGCCACTCAAAAGTGTTCTGATTTCTCCTTATCTGGTGTGGCAAGCACAATCATTTTATTCACTGCTCTTTCTGAACAAACTTGGATTTCACAGATGGTAAAAATGTCCTTATTCCTACCTGTTTTGGTGGAGATGGTTTTCTGCCATATTGTTTTGTGTTAGGATAGAATGGGAAATGTCTTCCTAAAGTTACCAGAAAATGCTTATTAAATCAACCCAAAAAAGTCTGCAGCTACCCACCTCCTATGCAGTGACAAAGCAGTAATTGGGGCAGGTGGTGGGTTTTGCTGACGAGAAGCAACATTCCTTTTCCTTTATATTAAAGTGGCAAAATGGAAGCATTGCAGATGTGAATAAATACAGATATATTGCAGGACAAAACAATCTCCTTAGCAGATACAGACAAGGTCTACTAGTTTCTAGTTTGAAACCATTTATCAAGAAAATATCACCTAAAGCCCAAAATTTGTTTCTATGTGTTACTTAAGATAAATTGACATTGCCTTGCTTGATTTAATATGTGTATCTAGGGACGGTTGTAAAAGGGGTGCACTTGTCAAAGTTCACTGAAGAATTACTGAACTTCTTTAGTAGTGAATTTAAGAGTAGCCAGATAAGACTTGGAAGGAAATGTCAAAGAGCTTTCAATGGTTTTTGTGCTAACTTTGTGCTGTTACCTGGGTTGCTTCAAAACACAGTGAATAACTAGGGCTGTTGCTGCCCTTTTGAGGACTTGTGTTCTCTTGTGTCCATTTAGCAAATTGAAGTTATTCAAAAATTCTGTGTTCATGACATCATTTAAATGCTGTGGTAATCTTGGCGGGGAGGAAAAAGACATCTAGAAGAATTAAAAGATATTCCATAGCTGTTGGCTGCACTCTGAGGCATTCAGTTTGCTCTGGGAAGGAGCCCTTAGCCTCTTTTGTAAATGGTTGTGGCTCTTGTGTCTGTATTTTTGTAAAACTAGAGCTAAATTATGGCTGGCACTGCATTGTACATTAACATGGAGGGTGATTAAGGGTGCTGGTCTTCCCCAATTGTGCTCTGATGTTCTTGCCATGAGTTGGCTGTAGGAGATGAGGGATGAGACAAGAAGTGTTCCCATGTAGTTTGCCACCACACTTTCTCCTCGTGTTATGTGTTTGCTTGCAGAGTCAATGACCCTCCTGAAGATGAGATTACTAATGGCATGACTGCGTGACTTTTCTTTCATCTTTCTATGGTCAGAAGTATAGTTTTGGCCATAAAATATGGAGCTCAGCAGAGGTGTGCTAAGGCATCACATCAGTGCAGGAAAAACTTGGATAACATCATTGCTTGATTTCTGACATTAACACTAGGAATTGGCCTTCCAACTATCCCTTAGACAAAGTGATGCCAACCAAGAGCCAGATTCATTCTTATTGTGAAATACAGTAGTTTTGATATGGCTGAGCAGGGATTGAATTAATCAACTTAATGTCATCAGTATTTCAAGCCAGTCTTGCCTTTCTAGTGTGTATTTTTAGGAGGGTCAGAGTATATCCATATTTAAATTAATGAGTTTTGAGGTTGCCATATAAAAAGCACAATAAACAGTTTGATGGCTAATTATCTATTTTACAAAATACTTTCCATTCCATTAAGCCTCACAGTGGAATATGAATTTAAGTGAGCTTTTTTTTAGTTTCTTGGAAAGTCTTAGAATGAGTTTACAAAAAAGATGTTGAATTCTAGAACATGCAATATTTGTAGAAGCCTTAACTGAAATGCCTTTGTGCATTTCCATGTCATTGTTTTTAATGCATTTGTGTTAATGAAAAATGTTTTCAAATATGTTGGTGCCAAATTCTTGTTTTCATGTATATGAAACAATTAAAAAATTGCTGTAAACTAGTTAGAAATGATGGTACTACTTTGTCTTGTTTCCAGGTGTTTAGTCTGTTTAAAATAAATCAGCCTGTCTGTGGATTTGCGATGGGAGGCCGAGGGGCTAGCTAGGGCTGATCCAGACTTGGATGGACAAAGCCCCATGCAGCTTGAGCACAGGCTGGACTCCCAAGCTAAACTGTTTTAATTACTTAAATTGTTCTAGTAATTTAATATTTGGTTAATTTCGACTTGGTTTAAATGTTACTCGCTCAAGGCAGTTTTCTCAACGTGAAGCCAGGCGGCATTAATTTGCAGTGTCTTCTTAAAGTAGTTTTGGTGTTGCTGAGGTAAACTTTAAGAGGGTTATGATTAGGTGAGAATTACTTGCTTGCATATTTCCAGCAGAATTAATTTAAAGGACTGAAGACTTTGGGACATCAGAGAAAACCATCAGGTAAATACCTACAGCTAAGCCTAAGCCTTACCTCTCTCTTCCTTTTTCGTGGAAGATACTGCTTTCCTCAGGGCGGCTGCGCTTGAAACTTCTGCGTAAGTCTACAGACACTTGCAGAAAGACTCTTTTCCCTGGCTGTTATTTTTCTACTGTGCCCCGGGGCTGCTCGCTCCCTTCACGAAGGGCAGGAAGGGTTCCCAGCCTCTCGCCTGAAACCCGCCGCTTGTTGCTGCTTCCGGGGACAGGTGCTTTAGGGCATGTTTTTTTCCTGCCGTGTGTCGCCATCCAGTCCCCGGTGCGTTTGTTTGCCGAGCAGCTTGTCCGCCGCGGTCCCCTCGCTGCCCCTCAGCCATGCCGGCCCCGGGGACCCCTCTCCCCCTCAGCCATGGCGCCCCGGGGACCCCTCTCCCCCTCAGCCATGGCGCCCCGGGGACCCCTCTCCCCCTCAGCCATGGCGGCCCCGGTGACCCCTCTTCCCCTCAGCCATGCTCGCCCCGGTGACTCCGCTGCCCCTCAGCCCTGCCCGCACCGGCCCCCGCCCCAGTGACCCCTCTCCCCCTCAGCCCTTCCCCCCCTCAGCCATTCCCGCCCTTCTCCCCCTCAGCCCCTCTCCCCCCGCTCCCCGTCAGCCGTTTTCAGGCAGCGCTAATGGCCGCCAGGGGGCGGTGGCGGGGCCGCTATGCCGGACTCGGCATGAGGGGTGGGGCTGCGCTACTGTCGGTCGGTGGTTTGGGGCAATGTGATCTAAACGAGATACTCGTCAAAATGGAAAAATTTCTCACATGCTCCTACACACGAACCGAGCTGTTCGCTTTAATAATATTGTATTTGAAATTGATGTAACCTTTCCTTCGACCTGTAGAAGTTGTAGAGGCCTCCCTAGCTGAGAATTCCCTGTACAGTTTCCCCATACTGTATTCAGTAAAACAGCCACGAGAGCACGGCTATTCAGATGGACACAGGCAGGCCTCAAACAGTGATACAGAGACAAAAAGCAAGATCCTCTCGTGGATAAACATGCCAGATGTAATAGTTAATCCCCATTGTGAAAATAAACAGATTAATGTACTTTGGAGGTGGGGGTGGACCCTCTCCGCTCCTCACTGCAACAAACTCAAACCAAAACTCAAAACAACCCCCCAAATATCCCAAAACAAACCAACCAACAACCACTTTTGAAAAAAGAAAATAAAAACAAATAAAAAACCCTGCAAATTTTAAATTGTTAAAAAGTCCCACAGTAAAAGAGTAAGAACAAAGTCTGAAACAGTAAAACTCTTCGATTTTAAATGCTTATGATGCTGATATTCAAGCAGAGTACCTTTGTAGGCCATGGCTCACCAAACGGCCCAAAATTTGTCATTTACAAGTCTAGCATAAGGAAAAAGACAAGTTGCCAATAAAATCCTGACTGGAAGTTATAATAGAAGCAATGTAGAGAAATGTGCATTGCCATGCCACCAACATCTGGGCCAAATATTAATAAATATGCTATATAGGAAGGAAAACCAAACTACTTTGTCCTCAAAACTAGTTTGAGGAAATCCAGTAATGTGAAGAAAAATCATGGAAAGTATGCTGAACCATCTTTTTCAACATCCCATGCTGCAGGCTCCAAGGATTCAAAATCATGTGTTCTCCCATGATAGGGAAAACTAAGTGGAGCAGGAAAAAGGGCATGACAGCCAGCCAAATATATAATTCCACAGGTCTATGATGACTACATCAGCTACTGTAGAACAACGGCCACCTCAAACCAGGAAAGAATTTAAAGAAAACTTATCTGTAACTGACCTGCCAGATTTCACATGGGCAAAAGGAAATTTCCCTGTAAGAGTATTTTTCTTTTGACTGCATGAAATGTGAGAATTAGAAAGATAGTTGATATTGAATGTAGAATAAACAAACTTTGGAAATAAAATTTAGTAGATAAACTCAGCATTGATACTCTTAACCCATATGTCATGTAAATTTTGACAAAAGACAGGAGAACCTCTGCATCCTATGAGCAATCCATTCTCCTCCATTGCAGATGGATTTCATGAGAGGACAACTGAATTCTATTAATCTGGCTATGTAGGTAAATCCAGTAGTAATGGTCTATTCTATAATTATATCTAAAAATAAAACCACCACTCGATTGCAGCTAACATCACATGGGATTTTGGGACATTTTTCCAGAAGTTTCTGTGACTTTCAGATAAGAAATAAACATATATAGAACTAATTTATAGAGTAGAAGTAGTTGTTTTCATCTGGGCATTATGGAGGTTTCCACAGGCCCCTGTTTAAACTTAATATTCTTTCCTTCCTCCTATCTCAAGTTTCTGGAGAGATTTAATTATGTTAAATACCAAATGTTATTCTGCTACCTGGTTATTAGTAAACCATCTCAATTTTCAGTGGTTTCTTCTTTTAATAAACTCAAATCTACGCTTGTCTGTCACATCTGATTGTTTAATTTCATAGTATGGTTCTTACAGTCCCTTGAGGTCTTTGCTGTAATGTATACTGTTTCTGAATTTTAGTAGTTTTTCCTCATTCATACAGGATAGGGATGGCCATCACTAGGACAGGTCATTACTGCTACCTTAGTTGTTTCAGAGGTTTATCAGACAAACTAATATACTTTAGGAAAGCTACTTAATATCATCAAAGGCAGGGTATGTAAGTCACCTACTTTGGTATCTGCCTCTTGTCAAAAGGTTCAGAACAATGGTTTTCAAATGCTTTCCTGTATTTTTAAGCATCCTCTAGGTTAAAAACTATTTTGCACTTGAAGAGAAGAGGGGTAGGGAAAAGAGAGAGGTAAGGTAAAACTCTGTAATGTTTTTTAAAAAAAATTTTTTTCTGTTAATCAAGTGGAAGAAACTGTTCTCTCTTCAATGGGTATTTGTTGCATTGAGACTAATTTAAAATGAGGAATTCATGTATGAGAGCAAGTTAATCTGGGTAGATCACATTTTTTTCTGTAGTAACAAGTAGCTGTTATAACAAGTATGTAATTTTCCTGTAATAACAAGTAGCTTGTAATAACAAGTATGGCTGGACTATGGTGAAAACAGAAGTCCAAGTATTATAGATATAAATGGAAGTTATTTGTTTATAAGTTTATTGACAAGTCTTTAATCTCAAATTAAACATGTTAAGTTTAGAAATATAGAGCTCTCTTCACAGCATAATGAATAGAATAAACTTTTTTTTGGATAGTTTTTATGTAGTCATTTAGAATTTTATGTATCTCTTAGGCTTGTATTTCAGTCATTTGGTCTTCAAGACCTCGTAGCAAAGCTGCTGGCAATACTGGCAGTATTCTCAAAGTTGGCTACAGGTCTGCTCAGCTATGGAAGACTTGAAGACTTATGTGGAATGTTGTTTATGTTGAAAACTTAAAATATATCCATCCAATATCTATTCATACCTTTTTACTATCATCATGCTTCCATCAGGAAAGTACTAGTGGCTTTGGGACACAACTTTTGCTACAACATGATGAGAATATCCATTTTAAAAAAAAAAAAATGCTTTTGTTCAGTTTGAGTTGCCTGGTACAGTATGAGAGATGAGAATTTACTGAATTGTAGGGAGAAGACAGCTTTTCATCTGACTTAGAACAGGTAAATTAACTAGGATCTATTAGTTTTTTAGTATGGCTGAATTGATCCAGGGGAATTTAACTGTGCCTTGCAGAAGAGGCTTGTTTGCCAGCAGCAATGCCAGTGAAGCTTAATGCATGTTGCCTTTTCTTCTGAGAAACAGTATTAGGTTCTGGTAAATTCTGGTGGTGAACAGGAATACAGTTGTCGCCCTGAAAACTCAGCTTCTGAGCTTGCTAACATAGTTTTCTAAGGACTTTCCCAGGACAGTAACTGTAAACATAGATATGTGTACATTCTTTCTGTTACACATCTTGTGATGGGCATCTCTCATGGCCAGTGCAGTGAGAAAGTGTTATCCTGACCATCCAATCCCTGGCCGTGGTCAGGAGCCTATAAATCCTGGGGGGAAAAATAAACTTTCTCTTCTTTTCACCACACCTCGACCTGTGTCCGCATGATCTATTCATCTTCAGCGGTAACATACAGTATAAATAAAAATATGTACAATAACTTTAGATTATTTGACTCTTCAAAATTAACCCATACCTGCTAGAACTCGAGACTTACTTTGCATAGTGAGACATCCCCAGATTAACTGCTAAAATGACACAACAATAAATAGAGGAGCAAAACCCCAGATTTGTACTAAGAATGTGAACAGATGCAAGAGCAGGAGTCCCACTTCCAAGCAGCTTAACTTCTTTGGGCAACACACAGTATTAAAACTGCATGAAAAATGGTGCATAGCTAACCTTTGGCAAATATGACAGTGTATCAAGTGAGAAAAATGTCTTTTGAGAGAGAAACATTTATTTACATAAGCAACAAATCTGTGCAGCTTCACATTTCAACTTGGAGGTGGAGGATTTCTCCTTACTAAAATGATTTGGGTCATAATGAAAAGACAAATAGATGTTTAGGTAAGATCACAGACAAACCCCAGGCCTGAATTCAGAAAGGCATGTGGCCTGCAGCACTATGAGCTGATAATACAGTACAGAGTAAGATTACAGCAGAGGTTCTCTTGTTAAGAAAGGCTTTGAAAGAGAGAGGTGAGCATTCAGCTATTCTTTATACACAATTTTCCTTACACTCAGAGTGAGGCACACTGCATTTTGTGATGCCAAGAGGAAGTTAATGAATTATAGCCACTTCATGGCATTTCAAGTATACTTGGTCTAACTGTATTTTAACCATACAAAAGCAGCAAATACAAATCACATTTTCCTTCTCTGAAACACTGGAGAGGTATCATTGGTATTTATTTAGAATTCCCAGTCTGTATCATCTTGATTTGTGGCAATACGTCCAAGTTCAGCCCCAACTGCTGTTGAGGGCAGTGCCAAGAAGTCTGATCTGTTATTTTGAATAGGAGGTGGTAATAGGGACAGTAGTGAATTCTCTGTTTGTTCCTTTATCTAGAAAGAAAAAAAAGTTAAAACAAAGCTGCGTGTAAAAGCCTCCATAACTTTTCAACTGACTTCATTAAAAGCATGGGAAATCAGAGCCATGTTTTTGCATGTTACAATACTGAAAGTAAAAGAATGAGAGGTTTTGCTTTCACTGGTCTATTAGTCCTTCAAGAAGTAATGAAATCAGCTGTGCAGTTCTGCTTTAAATTAAGAATATTAACCATTTTAAAATTACTTAGGCTGCCATTAAGTTAAATCAACTTCATCAATAGGGAAATTGATTAATCTTATGCTTTCTATACTCCATCTATACCATTTTGTTAAAAAAATTCTGAAGCACGTATGATCTTACAGGATGATTTTTGGCTCCAGGTAACTTCATTATTTTGTAATCTAGCTCTTTTTGTGGCTTATTTAGGTTATAGCTGTGTCATTTAATGAAATATATGAAACTCACCTGTTTGAAGAACGTATGCGAAAGCAAACTGCTTGCTGATGGCCTGAATCATAAAATGAACAATATAATTATGTTCTGGAAAGTAAAATACTGCATTTGGATAATGGGCCAGATTGACAAATAAATTTAAGCCCTGAGGTTTTTCCTCCACAGGACAAATGTGAAGAATGAGAAAAGCAGCACACAATTCCTACATTCTATGCCTCAATTTGTAATTAAAGCACTACTGAAGAAATTTATTTTTAAAGGTCTTTTCATGTTTCTGTTTAACAAGAAATTTAATGCCTCATTCAAAAGAGACATAGAACTGAAAACATGTATTTCAGATTTCTGGGTTTTTTTTCTTTCACATATTTGAAAGTTAATTTTACTTGTTACAAAGCATAGTCATATTACAAGAAATTCAGGGGTCAAATGACTTTAAAAGTTTGATTCCTTTATCAGACAAGATAATTCTTAAAATAAAAATGGAAGTGTGTTGTTTTACATAGTACATCTGCTCTGAAATTCTACTCTAACAGCATTCAACTGATTACTGTACCCTAAACCGTGAGCTATACTTGATCTTGGATTGAAGTGACAAAAAATTAGTTTTCACCAGAACATTACCTTTTCTCAGGGTCCTGTTGCAAGCAAAGTTCCACCAAGTTGTGGAATTCAGGTGAAAATGTTTTGGAAAAGGGCATTTGAAGTCTTTCACTGGTCATTGTGTGTGTCATGCTCTCACCAATTCCAGAATCAACACCTGATCGGGAATTCTTCATCCTGGATTCTCCCCGGGGAAAGGTATTTATATCCCAAGGACAGTAGGTGGGACCTTTCAGCTTTTGCAGCAGCATCTAGTAGGAAGGAATAGCAGTATGAGAGTTCAGCAGCTATCCAGACCTATTCAGGGTAAGCTGTGAAACTGAAGGGATGGAAAGATTATTTATTCTAGAAAGAGACATGCATATTTGAAGTAACAAAAAGCAGACATTATTTCAGCAGTAATAGCACTGGTTTCTGTGAGTAAAACAAAAACAAGAACAAGCTCAGCACATTTTTAACTACAGATAAAGTTGAGCATTATACCTGAGTGCGAGGCATATCCTGAAACGGAACGTGTCCATTGGCTAATTCACATGCTGTAATTCCCACACTGTAAATATCAGACTTCATGTTATAGCCAGACAAATCCTGTTAGAGAAGGAAGACACTAATGATCACTGAGACCATTGAGCAGTGCCAACAAGAATACAAGTCCCTGCTTCAAACCAAGATTCGAATACCCCATTACCTACACAGCATTGAACCAATTAAATTGTGAAACCTCAGACATTTGAGAAATCTGATAGATGTACTAAACACAAGTTTCAGGATTTGCAGTAGTTTCCAGGACATTTGGGTAAAGAGTTTTAGTATAGCATCACCTTACCAACAGCTTTAGAAATGGTTTCTCTAAAAGAATTAAAAATTCAGTACACACATATATTTTTAGAAGTTGCAGTTCAACATCTTTCATTGCAATTCTACAAGCAGACTTAAGTTGGAATTGAGTACTGCTACTAATTTTGAATAGGAAAAATTACGTGTAATTTATACTAACCTGTCTCAGTAGTTCAGGACTCAGCCAAGGAAGCACAGATGTACTAAACTGGGGGAAATCATATACCACCTTTGACTTCTGTCCATTGCTAACTAAACTGTAGAGGTTGTTTAGGCCAGAGAGAGAAACCAGCCCATCCTCTGAAATCAGAATGTGGCTAGCTTTAATATTCCTGTAACATAAAGTGGTAAATTTTAGTTATAAGAATTACTCAAAAGCACTACTAGAACAGAAAGGCTTTCATATTTCATTAACTTACAGTGAGATGCTAGCATGGAGTTCATATCTCAGTTAAGAGAGATGATCAGGAAAAAAAGTGCCAGAAATAGGAGAAGGGCCCTTCTTCCCTGCAAGGGGTGTAAACTAAGGAAGCCCTTTCTATAACTCTGGTTTTCTTCTGCTTCAAAGAAACAAAGTCAGGCAGAAGTATAATCCCTGTAAAAACTGGCTTGAAGAAAAGCAGAAATACATTTCCTCTTAAAATTTTACAAACTTGGTTCTCCTGAAAACCTTCCATTGAAAAAAATGTTACTTGTACGCTGTCTGATATAAGAAGGTATACAGGAAAAGGAAGGAAACAATACTTAAGGTAAGATGCTGGTTCTGGTTCTTACCTATTGACATTCTCCTACCTGTGAATATATCCATTCTGGTGCATGTAATTTAATCCTCTGATTGCACCAAACAGAATGTTCCCTATCAAAGCTTCGCTCATTCCTTCAGGAAAGTAAGTCTTCAGCAGGTGTCTAGCTGAACCTGGAAGTAAAAAAACCTAGCTAGGCCTAACAAGTCTTGTTAAATTACTTGTCTATGCTTCACTCACTGTGCACACTCATCAAGAGCAGAATTCTCATCTTTATACTGACTTTGGTGCATTATTACTTGGATGTAACTGATGCCCCATGTCATGCTTCTGTTAACTGGAAGTCTGTGCCCAACCTGTATTCAGTGTAAATAGGTCTTCTGTTAGCAGAATAAAGCCAGATACATCTCCCAGTTACCATTCCTCACATGGTGAGTGCTAGGACTAAGTGGAATTTAATGCAGTTCAAATACCAGTTTTCACTGGGGAGGAAATCTTCTCTAAACAAATGGTTTGTGAGAGTCTGGTTTCTCTACAAGACAGGAGATAATCAAAGAGAAACCTCTCATGAACCATACAGTCTAACCTGTATCAGCCCTTTTTCCTATTCCAAAATTGCAGTTAACAGTTCTTACCATAGGCCATGAATGGGGAGATGACCCAAAGCCAGCTTCCAGCTGTAAACACTGTCCAAAATGTCATTATGTTGGGATGCTGGAAAAAGTGTGATAAAACCACCTCATTCTATGGAATTAAATGAAAATGGATGTGTTAACCACAGAACAGCGGTCCTACTAAGAGCATTAACTACATCAGTTATCAGTATAGAGAACTGTTTCTTTGCAATTATACAAGATGCAGGTGATGTGAATAGCCTGCAACACAAATGTAAATAGCTTGCCCATAATTGCATTTGTCTGAAGTAAATCTAGTTTCTTCATAGTCCAAACTTTTGGTGTTAAATAAGAGTACAGAACATATTTCAAATAAGTTGCACAATTACAGAAGTATTTCTAAAGCAATTGTCAGCTGCTGTCTTCAGAAAGCAACTCTCAAATTTACACATGCATTGTATTTATTATGTTCTACTCCTTTGGAGGGAGAAACCTGACTGAAATGACCCAGTGCAAGCTACCTTTGTTCAGTAATCTCATATGTATTCCTCTCTATCTTCATCAGGCTTTGTAAAGAAATGTTGTTCCTTTACCTGTAAGGCTTTCAAGTGCTCTTCAGAGCAATTTTCAAGGTCTGTGATCCTTACAGCAACTTGCCTGTCTGTAGGTGTATGCCGTGCAAGGTAGACTGAAGTTAAATTGTTGAACCTCCTTCCTGAAACCAGAAATGGCTACCTTAACATTGGAAAACATAATAATCCATCACATGGTTTCCTTCATATTTAGAGATAATTTTCCAGTTTTAAAATTGCAATTGACAGAAGCGTGTCCTTTTCTTTGAGAATGCCAAGACCTTAAGTAATTGCAGTAAAAATATATGCAGCAAATTAGTTGAAGCATGGCTGTACTATTTTGAGAACAACCAAAAGTGTTTGAACATGTGTTAGTACCAATAATACATCTAAATGAACAACACTTAGTATGCATATTCACATAAACATATGCATGCATAGCAGGATCTAAGGCAGCCATGCTTAGAACAATCAGCTTGGGTAGCCAAGTTACAAGACATGATGTTACTTAAGGCTGCATTTATTGTCACATACCACTGATTTTGAAAACTGACATGTACATGCACAAACATCAAGAGACAATTTCAGGTAATAGTTGATTTGTCTTAGTTCTTAAAATAAGAGATTACTAAACTATGAGCAATGCTCTGCACTTTTCTCAACTGAGAGAGAAGAATAGTCCTTTATTTTCCAAACTTACTGTTTTCTGCAGTTAACAATAAATTATTGATAGCAGGAAGAAGAAATATTTTAAGGTACATTTATGTTACCTATTTCCAGCTGGAGTTCATAGTGAGAGACATTAGAAGAGCAAAATACCATTTCATTTTTTCCTGTAGATGGGGGAACCCAGGCTAGATCAGAATCAGCCTAACAGAGAAGAAACAGACTTAATCCTGAAGTCCAGTACTTAAATAAGAACATTCAAGCTGGTACTTTTACCATTACTAAGACTTAATTTTATGAGCTACAAGTTTTATGTGTGTGTGTTTGTTTTCACACTGGCACAAGATTAACACTCAGATACCTATAGTCTTCTACCAAAGTGGAAGCCCCAAAGTACTCTTGTTTATTTTTGTTGTCAGCATTTCAATAAGCACTCCCTAATTAGGCTATTTTTAATATCCACCAGCTTCATACTTAACCTTGGGAGCTAAAGTTTCTATTCTTACCAGGCATTCATGGATGCTGCTCTGAGATAGCTCTTCTGGTCTGATTGATTCAACTGGTGTACGCAGAATACAGGAGCAGTCCTTGAGAAAAGAAACAAGTGAATGTTGGTGGAGTTGATGCAATTTATTAAATATTGCAGTGCAAAAATGTAAAAAAGCAGGAGCAGTTCAGAAAGTCTTCTGCTACAAGTCAATCAATCAAGGGGTTAAGAAACAGCATGAAGCACTTACATGGCAGACCTAGAGAGGAGACACACCAGTCTCCTTCACCAAAAGCTGACACAGTGAAGTTCAAACATCTCAGCACTGTGGAAATTCCCTCAAGCAAGATGTTTCACCAGGGCTTTTCATATTAAGGTATAGCTGGGTAACAAGGTACAACAAGGCCAAAGTTTTTAAAGACAAACTTACCAAACAAGACATGGAACCACCTTAGGTCAGGGGAAAAGTCATACACACCCATTTATCCTAGAAAAAAAAATAAAATAGCAAAGTAAGATGATACATAAACCTGTCATAAACTTAAATCTCCTTAATTAGAACTGTGAGGCATTCCTGTCAGCTATCACACACAAACACCAAGAGCTCCAGCTCAGGGAAAGTCTGCTTCTATTTAAGTAGAAAATCAATTTGAAACTCCACACTGAGGACTACACATTAACTCAAGTGTTCCTTTTTCATTTATGGGTTTAGAAATGTTATTGCCACTTATGAATAAACAATTTAATTGCAAGTTAACTGCACAAGTGCAAAAAGTAAAAAAAAAAAACAGACTCATGAATCCTTGGCAGTTTGTAGGAAAAGAAATCATTTGTTGTTTTAAAGAAGCACAGCTGTGCTAGGCAGATCTTGGCTTGGATGTGTGCAGCTGAACTAGCTCACAAAAAAAAGCAAGGCAGAAGCAATTGCACTTCACATTTCAGAGGTGAGGGAGGAAATTCTATTTTAAGGGATTTGAGTTAAAAAATAAAAAAAAGAAGCAACTCCCTCACAGATCAGAGTAGCCTCTCTCAAAGTCCTCTAGCAGACTTTGCGTCTGATGCTTTGAAAGCTTAGGCAGTGAGAGAGATGTCTAGTAAGCGTATCAAAGCTTCTGTAAGTAAAGAATGGGACTATTTTACCTTAGCTATAGAAGACTATAAACAAGTCTTCAGCAGTAGAATCACTAAGGTTGGAAAAGACCACAAAGATCAGAGTCCAACCATTAAGTTAACACTTCCAGGCCCACCATTAAACCATCCCTAAGCACTACATCTACGTGTTTTTTGAACACTACCAGGGATGGTGACTCCACCACTTCTCTGGGAAGCTTTGACAACCTTTCCAGTGAAGAAAATTTCCCTAACATCCAATCTAAACCTCCCTTGGTGCAACTTGAGGCCAGTTACTGTCATCCTATCTCTTGTTATGCGGGAGAAAAGGCCAACTGCCACTTCACTATAACCTCCTTTCAGGTAATTGTAGAGTAAGAAGGTCCCCCTGAGTCTCCTCCAGGCTAAACTCCTTCAGCCACTCCTTGTAATACCTGTGCTCCAGACCCATCACCAGCTCTGCTGCCCTTCGCTGAACACCCTCCAGTGCCCCAATGTCTTTCTTGTGCAGGGCTCAAAACTGAACATGGTACTTGAGATGTGAACTGGCCTCACCAGTGAGTACAGAGGGACTGGTGACAGGTCCTGCTGGTCACACTATTGCTGATACAAACCAGGATGCCACTGGCCTTGGCCACCTGGGCACACCACTGGCTCATGTTCAGCCAATTGTCAAACAGCAACACCAGGTCCTTTTCTGACAGGCAGCTTTCCACACATCATGAGGAATGCTACTTGGTGGCTGATAAAAAAGTCAGCTACAGGAAGTATGTTATTATGCCATTTTTTGTATGAAAGTTTACTTATAAAAGCTGAAGTACTATACCAGAAACTGATGATTTTGTTTATAAAGGACCTAAGCTTGAGTATATCCTGCATTTAAATTATGTATGCTACTTAATCAAGGGAATGCTCTTGAAAAGCTAACAAGCCCCCACCACTCCATTCACTGAAAAATATCCAATCCATTCCAGTTACATTTTTACCCTAAAGATCTGCTTGGAGATCTGCTGTAATTCCTTTTTAGAGATACCAGATGGAAACAAAAGTCAACCCGTAGCATATACTGGGCACCTTCAGAGGATCAGCACCTGACTTGAATAACTTCACTGAGGAAGTTTGTAGCAGAGTAGAAAAAAAACCAAAACAAACGCAGGTGCTTCAATATACTGCCCAGCACTGTAATGGCAACAGCATCCTTCTCCTACCTGGAAAGAAGATGCCTCATTCTGCTACACGAGACAATTTATTCTGCTGCTTGCAGTATGAGACCACAAAAGCTAAGCTGAAGAATAAAGTCTTTTAATAGTTATGATATACCAAAGTCAAATTATTATAGACTTAGTTCAAAGATGTATAGCCAGCCAACAGAAACATCCGTGATGCACATTTATGCAAATAACAGTACAGTTTTAAGATTTTTATTTTTTTTCTTATGTAGCTTGACATTGTTTCCATTTTTTCATACGGCTTTGGATCATGTCCCCATATAAACCTTCCCCTGTCCCCACATTTTTCCTTCTGTACTGCAGGTTTTTGGGGTTTTTTTTGTACTGTAGATAGTGACAGTGTTGTACAGGTTAAACAATATATTCATCACACTTTGGCCAAAGCTTCAGCCAGCTAACAGTGCAGAGCAGGAAAAAAAACATAGAAATCTGTTGCCTGTGAGCTAGGGGAGTGTGAAGGCTCCGGAGCCGAAGCCCCGGTACCGGGAACGCGCGTTACTGGGTTCTGCTGACGCCGAGCTGCAGCTCCTACTTCAGCGTTCGCAGTGACTGAGGCAGCTCTCGGTCGTGTATCTCGAGTGAAATGATCCGTCCGTGACAAAGCACCGGAACGTGCGGAAGGACGCCCCGCAGGCTCCCCAGCAGTTCCTCACTCGCTCCGTTAAGTTCGTACCTCGCCTTCCTCGCTGGGCCCCCGCCTCCCTCTGGCCTCCCGCGGAGGCCGGGACAAGGCTTCGGTCCTCGCAGCTTCCTCCCGAACTCGGTGTGCGCCGCTCCCTCTCTGTCCCTGGCCCGTCCGGCTTGCCCCGAAGCGGGGCAGAGAGCGCGGCCAGCGCGGAGCCCGTTCCCTTTCGCCGCCGCCGCCGCCGGAGTCAGGGCCGGGGGCCGGCACCGCCGCCGCGCCGCCCGCCAGAACCCCGCCCCGCTCCCGGCCCCGCCGAGCCCAGCGGCGGGGGGCGCGCG